CGAGTCGGTGCCGCACCGCTGAAACTGAGCACACACCCAGGCCCTACAGATGACCTTTCGCTGGTGCTACCGGCGGGCGCAGGCCGAGCTAACGTTATGGGTCACACTAAGTGCAGCACGCCCAAAGGGCTGGCATCCACCGATCGGCAGAGGCCGGCGTCCCAGGCCGCAGACGGCGCTGGGGGAGCGAGGGCACGAGCATTGGGATGGCGCAGTGGTAGTTCGCAGGACTGCCGCCAGGGCCTGAGGATCAACACCCGGGCAGCCAAAGTTCTTTGGCTGCACAGGAAACATGCTCTTAAGGTGCCCAAAATGGCATCTCGTGTTGGGCGGATTGCGTATGTCCTGTTCCGGCTCAGCTTCCAAAAGCGGTGTCCGTTCTTGGGTCTGCCTTGGAACATTTGAGTACATCAGGGGACGGCGAGTTGGGAGAGTTGCAAGACGATCAATATGTAGTCAAGATAAGACAACGGTAATAACCTTATTCTTTGTGAAAACAAAAACAGGAGAAAGCTTACGCGAAATACGTGTACATACAAACGTACTCAACTAAACAGGCATCCCACTTCATTCAAACATGCCAACAATTTTCAAGTTCATAGGAAACACACATCACGCGTCAATTACGCATGCAAACGATTTCAATTAAACCAGCATCGCGCATCACGCGTCGGGCATCACTTATACATGAACGCGATTTTAAGCTAACACACATCACATCAAAGTCCTTATCACGTTCACGTAATCGGCCATCATGAGCTCTGTGCGTTACGGTCCGGTCGCCGACTTTTTATAAAATAGGCACACCTATTTTCATGTCTAAATGGTCCTGTGCTCTGTATATGATTTTGAGCTCTAAAAGGTGCTACAGTCCAAAAGTCCCTGGATTCAGTCTGAGCGTGTTTTGTCAAAAAATGGTCACCGAAGGGGGCATTCCCTCTTTTGTTTTCAACGCCTCGCACGACATCCTTCGGTGTCCACTATATCCCAAACGAACAGGGTGCATGGGCCCCCCGACAGAGATCATGTCCTTCCCATGTTTTTCACAGCTGACACTTAATTTCATACTTTTTTTGCTTGCAAAACACTTGAAGCCCAGACTTGCATAAATGACATCCATTGCCACACGGGTACTTAAACTTTCAGAGAGAGGATTTCACCAGAGACGTTTCTAACGCACTGTCGTTCTTGCAAGCCATGCCCACGCACGTATTGATTTTCTAAAGATATATTGGATTTTCCGAAGAAAGTATTCATTAAAGTAGTGTTAGGGATCCGTCGTTCGACAGGACGCATTCCCGCCTCTATCACCCCCCGCCCCACGCTCTCTATATTTTTCCCTACCTCTTCTACCGAAAAGTCGCGGAGAATATCCATTGTCCAACAGCAAAGTCCATATTTTGTTTATGCTCTTTCTTTCCTTATCAATATTTGGGTTGTTTAGAGCCCTATAGAACATATCGCGAATTCTATCGTGCTTAGTGGAAGTTAGACGCGCAGATTCGCAGTGAAGAATTATACCACAGATGGTGGGCTTGATAAAAAGCTCCGTTTCTAAAGTTGTGCAGTTGTTCCTCCTTTCCACCGTCACTGGTGTATCCAAATATGGGACCCCTTTTCCGTCCCCTCCACGCTCCACCGCAAAGGCTAAATTTGGGTGCTGGTTATTCGTGAACTGCAAAATCTCTTCAGGGGTACGTTGTGCGTCCATATTCCAGCATAACCATCGATGTATCTAGCTAAAAAAGGTAGTTTTCATGAGCTGGTAAGCAGGGCCCTCGTTTCAAAGTGGTATAAAAACATAATCGTCGGTGGAGCGCATGGGTTTCCCATTTCTACGCCCAATTTTTGCCAACAGTAGTCATCTCTGAACGGGACAACATTATCCTGGAGACACTGTGCCAAAAGGCCGTAGATATCCCCTTCTGATTGACCTAAAGCATCAATTCCATGGAAATGTTCGTCTACCTCAGCTCTCACGGCAGCGATACCCTAATTGACTGGTATATTGCCATATACATTGACACCATCTACACTGAGGTAAACACTGTCCTCTGGTAAGCCTTCTGCCTGTGAATGATTGGAAGCCTTGTTAAAAAGTCTATGGCGTCCCACAGATTAATGGTAACAAAGCACAAGAGTCGGCTGAGTGTTTCTTCTAAAGACACGAAGTTTTTCTTCTGTAGGACCACTGCACGCACATATGACGGGTCTTAAAGACTTACTCCTATATCTCTTGACAAGGGTATAGGGTCCAGTGAAATATGGACCCTTACCCCTTTTAGAGCTCAAAGTCATCTACAGAGCACAGGACCATCCAGGCAGGAAATGTTATATATATATATATATATATATATATATATATATATATATATATATAAAGCTTATCCTTATAAAAATCGGCGACTGGACCTTGATGCACGGGCCTCATCACGACCGATTATAAGAATGTGATAAGTATCTCGATGTGTGATGCGTGCTAGCTTAAAATCGTTTACATGCGTGAGTGACGCCTCGTTTTCCTGAAATCGCTTGCATGTTTGAATAAGCCATGATGCCTGTTTACTTGAACTCGTCTGCATGAACACGCATTCTTCGCGTATTCTAGTTCTTCATTAGATATGCGCTGTATCGTAGTAATGGCTGGCAATTCCTTGTTTAATCCCCAGAACTGTATTGAACTGTAAAAGTTGTGGCTTACTGTTGCATGTAGCCGAACTATCGACGCATCTATATCTCCATTCTCCTGTTTTTTTTCTTCGAGGAATTAGGCTATCACTACTGTCTGACCTACGAGGGTAATGTTCCTTGCGAATGCACTTAACTCACGCTATATGAAGACAAGTTAAATGAAATGTGCAACCTGTCCTCTAGCCAATCACTGGATACGGACAGCCCGGACAAATCACGTGGCAATCTTTTGTATGCAAAAAGAAAGCCTACTAAAACAGGAATCAGATCGCGCCCGGTTGAAAGGTGGCTTGACACGGCATGCTGCCGTCAACGCGAGTGACTTCACGCGTGCTGACAGCTCCAAACATGCTCCCTTGAAATGGGCATTCAAGCTCTGAAAATCGAAATCCTAGGTAGGGGCACCACTTTCCAACAGCGCTAGTCCATCGTTAATTAACAATTTCGCACTAGCTGGCTTGATAAATCCCCTATCCCGCCAAGAGTTCATATCAACAATTATTGGGCTTTGGGCACTCAAAATCGGGCGCCAAGCGACACCCATGTCCTGAGGACACCATGTTACTTGTCAACCTGTCTAACCGGGTAAGGGACACAGCTTACTTCTATCATTTCAGTCCTGTTAAAATGGTTCGGGAAAGTCAGAAACACATTATTCTAAACAAATGATTATTTCTAGGACTAGAGAGAAACCATAAGAAAAAGCAATGTTTAAAACCATCCAGCGAAGAGCAGGCCTGCGCTGGTACAACCAGCGCAGAACAAGAAACCGGCGGCTGTCACAACCAGCGCAAAATAACAAACCTACTGCTGGCACAACCAGCGCATAAAAACAAACCTGCCGCTGGCACAACCAGCGCGAAATAACAAACCTGCCGCTGGCACAACCAGCGTAGAATAACAAACCTGCCGCTGGCACAACCAGCGCAGAATAACAAACCTGGCGCCGGCACAACCAGCGCAAAATAACAAACCTGCCGCCGGCACAACCAGGGCAAAATAACAAACTGCTGTTGGGGCAGCCAGCGCAAAATAACAAACCTGCCGCTGGCACACCAGCACAGAATAACAAATCGCCGTTGGCACAACCAGCACAGAACAACAAATCTGCCGTTGGTAAAACCAGCGCAAAACAACAAACCTGGCGCACGTACTATCAGTGCAACCGCCCATCGCGAGCAAACAATAGCGAGAATACTGAGCTTGAGTATGTACTAAATACTATATATATATATATATATATATATATATATATATATATATATATATATATATATATACATATATATATATATATATATATATATATACATACTAAACAAATACCATAGACTAAATACTTTGACTTGAGACACCACAGCTTGCTATGTTTACATTAACACCACGATGCGAAGGTTGAAACCACGGTTGAAGCTACAATTGAAAGGGTGGCGAACATAAAAGGAACGTAACATCTAAATAGAGGGGACGCTGCAGCTTTCTTCATATCTGACGGAACGAAAGGAAGTTGCCAGCCGGGCAAAATGCGTTAAAACGTGCACTGTTTGTTTCAGAGTATACATTCAACGCAAAAAATGCCTTAAATCGAGGTAGCACTTCTCATTTATCCTAGCGCTTCCCTTTCTCCAAGGGCCTTTCATTGCTCTGTGCCAACAGAATTTAACGGGATTCGCCAGGTTCCAGCGCTTACTGGCATCCTGCCCAAATCTGACGAGCCTGCGCCCAGAATGACAAGCCACTAACCAGTTCACGCGATGCATGCCATGCTAGCACAGCGACTTGCACAGCGGCCTTCAACTTTTCGCAACAATCCCCATCCCATAACGCCAGAACTTGAAGTCTTCAAAAATCGGGTGCCGTTCGGCCGACTGCGACCCGTTTTACCGGCGCCGGTGGCATGTCGCGTTGTCACGCGCGCCGTTTACGCCGCCTGGCAGCCGTCAGTGTGGCAGTCCGCCACCGGCCGCCACCCCCGGCGCTCCGTCAGGCCGGCCGACGTGCCCCGCCGCCGAGAGGACGCCCCTCCCCCTCCCCTTCCCCCGCCAGGCCGGTCCTGCAGCGGCCGCCGGCGGCTGGCGCCGTGCCCACACCTGACCCCCATCCCCCTTCAGCTGCAGCGGCCGACGCAGTTCAGTGCCGGGTCCAGCGGCGGCGGGCGCGCCGGCACCGCCTCCCCTCCCTCCGCTGTGCGCGCCCCTGCGACGCGCCGCCGCCATCGGCGTCGCCGCGATAGCGACCCAATCGCCGCGACGGGCGTGACTGTGGCAAACGCGGCGCGGCGGCCACGTCCGCGGCGATCGCGCCGCGCCATGGGGTGCTGCTGCGCCGATGACGACGCCCCGGCGCCGGCGCCGCGCACGCGCGGCTGCACGGACCTGCCCTGCCTGCTCGTGTTCGTGGTGGTCTGGTGCGCGATCGTGTTCCTCGCGGCGCTGGCGTTCGCTTACGGCCGGCCGGCGCTGCTCGCCGGCGGCTACGACAGCTTCGGCAACGTGTGCGGCGTCGCGAACTCGGCCATCGCTGGCGTGCCGCTGTCGGGCCGCGACATGCGGCAGCGACCGCTGCTCTTCCTGCAGGATGCGGCGCAGCCAGCGCGCGCGCTGGCGCTCTGCGTCAGCCGCTGCCCGCCGCACCGGCTCGACACGATCGCCGACGTGAACGCGTTCTTCGCGGCCAGCGGCAGCCAGCTGTGCCGGTACGACTACGCGCGGGCGGCGTACAACTTCAGTGGGCTGGTGGCGGCGGCAGCGCCGGGCCTGCCCGTCTTCCCCGAATGTCCGCCGCTGCCGGTGCCGGCCAGCGAGCCACTCCTCGGCCACTGCATACCGACGCCGGCAGCGGGCATCGACGACACCGCCGTGTCCAACCTCTTCGGCCGGCTGAACGGCGGCGGCCTGGCGCGTCAAGTCGCCGCCGATGTGCGCGCCGCCTGGCGGCAGATCGCGGCGCTGGCGGCACTGGCACTCCTGCTGGCGCTGCTGCTGATCGGCCTGCTGCAGCTGCTGACCAGCGTGGCGGGTGCGCTGCTGGCGCTGGTGGCGGCAGCGGCGCTGCTGGCCGGCACCGCGCTGCTCTGGTGGACGTACGCGTCGCTCCGCTGGGAGCTGGACGCCACGCCGCCGCAACGCATACTGCGCGCCGCCGCGCTCAACGAGCACGCGCTGCTGGTGTGCGCCATCGTGGCCACCGTGGTCACACCGCTGCTGCTGGCGGCCGTGGTGTTCAGCTGGCGCCAGCTGCGCCTGCTGGCTGAGCTCTTCGACGAGGCGGCCGCCTGCCTGCGCGCCCTGCCCTGCCTGCTGCTGCAGCCGCTTTGGACGGCGCTAGCCGAGGCCGCCCTGCTTGCGTTCGGCGCTCTCCTGCTGGTCTGGCTCGGCTCGGCGTCGCACATCGAGCCCCCCGGCGACGCGGCCGACGCCGGCGAGCCCGAGCGCGTGCTCCGGCTGGCCGCCGAAGTGTGGGTGCCTTACGTTTGGTGGCTGGTGCCCGTGGTGCTGGTCTGGACGGCCGAGTTCCTGCTTGCCTGCCAGTGGCTGGTGACAGCCGGCGCCGTCTGTCGCTGGTACTTCTCGCGCGCCGGCGCGCGGCCCGCCTGTCCCATCGCCAGCTCGCTGGGCCTGCTCCTCTGTCACCACCTGGGCACGGCCGCGCTCGGCTCCTTCCTCGTCTCGCTGCTGCGCCTGCCGCGCGCCGTACTCGCCTGGCTCAGCAAGCGCGTCGACGCCTGCAACGGCACGTGCGCCTGCTGCGCCGCCGCCTGCGCCTGCTGCCTCTGCTGCTGGGAGCGTTGCGTGCGCTGCATCAGTCACAACGCCTACGCCGTCACGGCCATCGACGGCAGTGGTTTCTGCGCGGCGGCGCGCGCCGCGCTCGCCGCCATCACGGCGAACGCCGGCGCGGCGGCGGCGGTGAACGGCGCCGGCGACCTGGCGCTCTTCTGCGGCAAGCTTGCGGTGACGGCGACCGTGGCGGCTGCGGCCGTGCTCTGCCTGCGCTCCGACCCCGACCTGCACTTCTACGCGGCGCCCTGCGTCGTGGCCACGCTCGCCGCGTACCTGATCGCCGACTGCGTGCTGAGCGCGTTCGAGACGGTGGTGGACACGCTGTTCCTTTGCTACTGCCAGGACGTGGCTGGCGACACGGTGGACGGCGGCGTGATGTTTGCGCCGCCGCGGCTGGCGCGCGTCATGGCCGACCTGGGCGCGGCGCCGGCCGGCGAGCCCGAGGTGAAGCGGCCGCTGCGGGAGGAGGAGCTGCGCCTGTCGCCGCCACCCACCGAGACGGCGTTATAAGTCGCATTACTGCGGAAGGAGGAGCTGCGCCTGTCGCCGCCACCCACCGAGACGGCGTTATAAGTCGCATTACCGCGGAAGGAGGAGCTGCGCACGCCGCCGCCGCCCAGCGAGACGGCGATGTAAGAGACTGCAGCTACGGCGAAGAACACACGATGGCCTGGTAGTCCCCGCCACCAATGCTGGGTCATCACCGACAGACCGTGAGGATGGGGGCTCCGGATAAGACGCGTTACAACGGACGCAGGTGCGACTGTGCTCGTTGGGAGGCAGCGGGGCAGCCGGTCCGTGGGAGTAGCGTCTCACATGACCTCGCCGACAACGGCAGAAGACCGCACCGGCGCCCGTGGAGTGAACGGCGCACGGGTCTGTACGGCGACGGTGGAAGCGCCGGCGAGGCCCGACGCTACCGATCCAAGGTCCAACAGACCCGTCACCAGTCCAAGCGCAGGTGACGTTTTGGGCGCCGGTGGGCATGAACGCCCGGTTTTTGTCATATCCGGCACTGTGGGCAGCGCGGGAAAAGCAGAAGAATCCATGCGAAGTAACGAGAGCGTCCGGTGGCAAACAAGGCAGCTCGCTTAGTGATCACGTCCCATGATAGCTTAATACAAGCCAGTGTTCCAACTGCCACGCTTTTAGAGGCATCCTTTTTGCTTGTAGCGGCAGTGTCCAGTATTGAGTTCAGAGGTGTTCTCGTCGTGTCCTGTTGGACGCTTCCTCGCAGGTTCGGTGTCATAATGTGAAGGCACAGCTGTAAACTGAACGTTGTTCACACCGCGTGTTCGTGGCGGAGGCTTATTGCTGTAGGAAAAGATAGCTTAATAAATACATATCTACTTCTGTAATTGCTCTTTAGGATGAGTAATGCGGCAATGGGATGCAAACCGTAACGAGATTCCACAACAGCACAAGTACCAATACCTATGAGCGGGCATTACGACACAATTATGCGTTCGATCCCAATAATCCTGTTTCTCCATTACAAAACACGTTTCCAATGATCCATCCATCCAATGATCCATCCAATGATTCCAGCGATCCGTGCGCGCCCCACGGCGCACTAGACGAGCGATCCGTGCTCACGCCACGGCGCACTAGACGAGCGATCCGTGCTCACGCCACGGCGCACTAGACGAGCGATCCGTGCGCGCCCCACGGCACACTAGACGAGCGATCCGTGCGCGCCCCACGGCACACTAGACGAGCGATCCGTGCGCGCCCCACGGCACACTAGACGAGCGATCCGTGCGCGCCCCACGGCGCACGAGACGAGTGATCTGTGCTCACCCCACGGCGCACTAGACGAGCGATCCGTGCGCGCCCCACGGCACGAGCGATCCGTGCTCACCCCACGGTGCACTAGACGAGTGATCTGTGCGCGCCCCACGGCGTGCCACACGGGAGATCCGTGCACGCCCCCATAAAGGGTGCCGTGCACTTTGGCTTGGCGCCAGTGCCAAGCCATGTCATTAGGACCTTTGGTGCTAGATAAGAGACGGCCTGCGGAGGGCGACCTTTGTACGCTGCATAGACATTAAAATGTAGGAGACATTTACGTACCACCCCTAACCGGACGCATTCGCCAACCCGACTCGTTGATACGGTTCCACATGTTGTCAAAACCCGTGGCCTCGTGATATTCCCCAGGCACGCCTCGAAGACTGCATAATCCATGGTGGCCCCACTGCGACATTGTGCACATGCCGGGGGGCACGAGGAGCCGAAGAGCAGCCGCCAGTAACAGACACGGCTGGCGCGCAGCTTGCATTGTGGTTTGGAGCGAACGTTGAGCCCGATTGATGTGGGTCAAGGCGCACCGCGAGCCGCGACTGCACGAAAACCGCCGGGAACACAGTGGTGCTGAGTTCTGCTCCACGCTGGGCAGTGGCTGACAACTGACGGGGCATTTGGTGGAGCTGGGCGCGGACGCCTGGGGCAGTGGAACAGAAATGTGTTTTTCCTTGGACACACGTTGCTCACGATAAACGTTTGACACAAACCCACGATCAATGAGCGGTTAGAGACCGCTAAATCCGGTCATCCGCGTTTAAGCGGAATTTTGTGAACACTCGCCGACCCATGGGCTAAATTATCCCAGGAATGGATCAGCATTTCTACATTTCAAGCACTAATATGAGCGTCGCAAGTGTCTTCTCAACTCGCCGATCCTAAAATCGACGGCACCATGACGCCATGCTGCCAGCTGGACTCCAGTGACAGGCATGATATATGCCCGCCACTGGGGCATGGGTACATGCCTGTCGCTGGGGCATGGGTACATGCCTGCCGCTAGGACATGGTTACGTCTGTCGCTGGGGCATGGGTACATGCCTGCCGCTGGGGCATGGGTACATGCCTGCCGCTGGGGCATGGGTACATGCCTGCCGCTAGGACATGGATACATGCCCGTCACTGGGACATGGATACATGCCCGTCACTGGGACATGGATACATGCCAGTCGCTGGCGGATGGTTACATGTTTGCCGCTGGGGCATGGATACACGTCCGTAGCTCGTGCATGAATGCATGTCCGTCGCTGGACCATGGCTATCTATATCGCCGTCTGGCGAGCTCGGCCGGGCAACATTCGGACCCCGATGCATAGAACATGCGCAAATAAACATTAGGCACTGTGCATGCACAGACGTCATGTCAGGCAGGTACATTATGCACGTGCCCGTCCCTGTACATGGCCGTGAAAATGTCAAAGACCATGATACGCAGTCCCTGCCTCATCACCATGTGACGTCAAACTGAAACAATAAACGAAGCGATGCTTCAGTTGGAGCGCAAGCTCAATGGAGTGAAAATTGCAGCTAGAGGCTAGCGTGGTAACACACAGTTCATTTTCCCCTCGCCCTATGGGAAGGTATGTCACCTTCGTCCACCCTACGAAGAAGAGGGAGGGGGCGAGAAATCAGCGCAATTTTCGCTTTAAAGCACAACGTTCTTTTTGAAAACGGTGCAAATTTCAGAAGTAAAAGATCAAAGTCCACGAACGTTGTGCTGCCAGTTACAGTCGATGGTGATTTTTCTAGATCCGTGCTCTCGAATCGGTGCTGCAACTATCTGAGCCAATACATGACCCTTTAAACTGATATAACCAATGTCCTCCGGACGCGGCTCCTGACAATGTTGAATGACACTCCGTCACGACTAAGGCCGGTGTGCGGCTGCTTGCCGCATCTCTTCCATGTGTTTAGGGTAGTTTTATACTGCCCTGTCGTTTGTATGTTCGTGTTCTGCAATAAGCTTGTACGGGTCTGTCTCTAACAAGGGGTGGCGTATGCAGTCACACCCCAACGTGGGCTATTGTATCCATAAAGCATCGATGCTGTAGCAGCACGGCGCAATCAGACCAGGCCGTGTCGGATATAACACTTTCCACTGCTTTACCGCCACTGAAATTTAGCTGAGTTGAGTGCCCGCTATTTTCACCCTTCGTGAATAATGCGCTAATTTCGAAAGCGTTTCGGTATGGCAATGTACCATGGACTTAATTTCTCCTAGGACTTAAGGCGCCAGGACTCCCAACACGTGACAAGCCGGTGAGACTCTCCGCCTGAGAGAGGCCGTTGCGAAAGGCAGCTGCCACCGCGCCACGGCCTTGGCCGCACGTAACAGATCTGTCCGCCGCCCCACCCGGTCGGCGTCAGCGACCAGAGCGAATCTTCGCGGCGTTGCAAGAAAGGAGACATGTCGAAACTGTGTTTGCCTCCACTCTAACTCCGCCAACGCGCCACTGCCAAAGGTGTGACTGTGGCACACCAACAACTTCCCACCAATCCGCTTCTGATACGCGAGAAAGACGAAGCATGTGGACGCATTTCATGTCGCTGGCTTCTGCACCCTAGCGCTTGGTGCCAGTGGCGTACTGAAATGAAAGGGGAGCGGGAGCACGTTTCCGCACTTTAATAAGAATATACGCATTTATATGCAAATAAATGACGATAAAACCGAACAAGACGCGTAAAAATTGCTAGACTGGAAATATACAAGATTGTTATCCACCATGCAAAGCATTTTGATTTTTTTCGGTGAGGACTTCTCAGCTGTGCACCCATCCCCTATTGTGAAACCCTGGCCACGTCCCTATCTTGCGCACTTCTGTCTCGCCCTCTCTCTGGCTAGTTGCCAAATGACGGCACATCCGCCAGTACTGCTCGCCTAATGAATGCATCCCTGAAAACCTGCCCCTCGTAGGCCTGGCAGCCCACCTCAATGCTCATATGCTGACGGAATTGGATGTTGCTGTTGACATATGGAGGCATTTTACCAGGTATGAAATGGGATGTTTCTGTTTACATATGAGGCATTATATATAAACCTGCCACATGGTTCAGGGTCAGACGTTTTTGTGGGTCTCTGTGTGTCCCAGTGCAGTCATTTATGCTGAGTGATGTGCTTTTGTGCCCCACCAGCCCCTCCAAATATGATCCATACAACACAAAACATAGCAGTTTTCATACCCTGCTAGCAGCCACCAGCAAAGCAAATAACACATGCAGAATACATTGAAACATCTTTGTTACTTGTGTGCTTGCTGAAAATGAACACCAACACACACACACACACACACACACACACACACACACACACACACACACGCACACGCACACGCACACGCACACGCACACGCACACGCACACGCACACGCACACGCACACGCACACGCACACGCACACGCACACCCACACGCACACGCACACGCACATGCACACAGCACATGCACACACACATGCACACACCTGCACACACACATGCACACACCCTCACACACCCCTCACACACCCCTCACACCCATGCTCACATTCACACTCCCACCCACACACCACAAATCATAAAAAAGATAAGCCTCTCAGAATGTTTTTATTATGAACACCTACAGCCAGAAAACCCATCAACACTACCCTCATAAGTTGCATGAAGTCATTTATTAGCTATCCTTTTTGTTTTAAGTCAGAGCTTCCAAAAATCTCCTTTTGGATGGTGAATGTTTGGATATGTCACTGAGACATCACTGCTGCTGCAACTAAGGTTGAGCTTCTGGTAGATGCCCCCCCCCCCCCCTCATGCTAATGGCAGCAGTATTTTTACACAGTTTTAGAAAGGGTTTTCAAAACATAAGAAATGAACTTGAATGAATCCAAACATGACCCTGAAGTAAAAAATATTGTCATATGGAAAGCAGAGCCCCTACAGCACTGAAGTAAGATCCACTTGGCTGAAAGGACCTCCTATGTCATTATTTGACTCTCTCCTGGGAAAAATTTTGGCAACACCACTGGACCTGACTGATAGTTTCAATACATTGGGTAAGTTTAAGCTGACTGCAATGACATCACATGACACTGGTGAGGGTCCATTGAACTGCAAGTCAGCTGCAATAACCTGAGCTGGGTCTTGCAATGGCTTGTGAAATCTGATGCTCCTGAGGTCTGTCAACTGATGATCAAGTTTTATATTACTTACTTGCTATTAATAGTGCATCACTGCCCATGGATAATTGGACAGAGATCAGCTATTGCAAGTACTCAATAGAAGATGGAAACTGGGAACACCATCAAATATTTATTAGAATCAATATCTCCGTGCCAACATTCAAATTGCACCACATTAATGTCTTGCCAACCAGGAAGAAAGAAAAGGAGTGTCTCATAGGTATGGCTTAACTATTGCATGCTTTACAAATTTTCTTATGAAACTTTGATACCACATGTAGCTTCAGTCATTTATGTGAACATCACTAGCAATATTAGATACCAGCAGTTTATTTCATGTTGGCCAAATGTTCTTCGCACACATTTTCAACACAAAAATAAGCCAGTTTTACTGACTTGTATGATTAGTAAGCCCATGTAACCACTTGGAGCTTAGGTTAAAATGATGCTCTAGTACCTACTGTTCTGTGCCAGCATAACTGGCACAGAGGGGAATTTTGGCCCTGTGCATTAGCTTATCAACCCATAGA